AGATCCAGTGGGGCACTTTTTATGTGGCTCATCAATATTACATCCACTTGCAAGAACTGAAGGTGTATTGACGTTTGTGCACTTTTCTACATACAAGCCAAATTAAGGTGATGTTTTCTTTCACTGAGGTATCATCCACATATCTTCCTATATACATAAAAATGTAAGGTGTCATCACACTCTACGGTTCCCATGGCTGGTGATAGGCGGCCACGCCAAATGCAGCCTGAATAATGGCCAGCTAGTCCAGGTGAACTGTTTAATGCAGAGAGTGCGTGCATTTCACCCAGTTGTTTTGCAGAGTAGGTATTATGTTGTGGAATCTAGTAATTTACACACACACACACACACACACACACACACACGTCAATGAAGTTAGCTTATTAACTTTGACATTTCACAAATAGGTTAGAAAGAACCGCCCCCCAAAAGGGATCTGTATACATTTTCATGCAGTCTTGCATCCTTCCCAACTTTTCCTCTTTCTTTCTTACCTTTCCCTATCACTTTTCTGCTCCAAATGATCCTGAAATGCAATCTTGCTGTGTTTACATTTGTTTTCCAGAAGGGGGTATCTCATTTTCACAAAAGTATCTCCCACTTGAAGCCTTCCTATTCCAAAGGCACTGAACTCCCAGCTCCCCCCTAGGGTTATTCGAGTCACTCAACCTATGAAAGAACAAGTATGGAAGAAATTCATGTGTGATGGTCCACAGGTATGTTTGTTTTCTTGGATGCATGTCCATCTGGGCCTGTGCTGGATCAGATTATCACTCCCAAACTGGCTTCATGCTGATTGCTAATTTGCAAGTTGTTTATGTGCTGTACTGAAGTGAAGCAAATGTAATGAGGTTGGGGCATAATTGCCGGAGAGAACCTGTGATTGCTAGATACAAACCAGTTACTGAGAGTTGGGAGGAAGGCTTTACAGTGGCAAAAGAGCATTGGTGCCCGGGGGGGGGCGTGTAACTGATGCTTTGGATAGATTTGCACACTGTTTTCTTGCCCTCTTCTGATGGCTATCACAGAGGGCACAGGTGCAAAACCTCAGGACCCAGGACTGAATGTGGCCCTCCAGACCTCTCTATCTGGCCCTCAGGTTTAGCTCTAGGCCACACCCCATGCCCCAAGCCACACCCTTCACCAGCCCTGCTCCACACCCCTTTTGAGGGCTTATGCCAGGCTGGAATATGTGGTTGAATTGTGATGATGCCTCTTGTTCACTTGGATGGATGTTGGAGGGGTGTGTGCATGTGTGTGTGTGTGTGTGTGTGTGTGTGTGTGTGGCTGAAAAGTTGCCTGTGGTGCAAAAGGCAAGGATCACATCCACCATTTGATTCACTTGTTGCCTCTGGCCCAGCCAGTCACAAGCCTCTGGTCCCTAAAAGATTGCCTGCAGGGGAATGTGGATCTCAAGCTTAATAAAGGTCCCTTTATACAGTGGATCCCAGCAGAGCTTGGTTGCCCAAAGGTGATCTGGGGAGCGTGCAAGGGTCAGATAAAGGGTCACATGTGATCTCCAGACCTGAGGTTCACCACCCACAAACTGGCCTAACTGGATTGCTTTTTTTCTTCTCTTCATTATAAGGAAAGCAAGTGGAAGAGTCTAACAAGGTGCCTTATACCAGGCTGGATCTCACCCATCCAATTCAGTATTGTCTGCTGGCTGGCAATAGTTCTCCAAGTCTCAAGCAAGGCTCTTCCACATCACCTTCTGCCTGATCCTTGTAAAGGAAGATTCATGACAGAATCAGGGAGTGATGTTCCTGCCGCCCCCCACCCACAACGTATGACCCTGCCTAAATAGTTAGACCCTGGTTTGGGGGAACACTCAAGAGAGTGAGGCCATCTCTTTCCACATTTTTCCATCTCACCATTTGGTATCTGCTCTGCCCCACTCTTTGCCTTCCCACTTCATTATTCACAGGCAAATTTTACCGCCTTGAAGTCAGAGGTCAACGAAGAATATGGGTTGGCTGAAGGTTGGATTTTGCAAGCAAACCGGCAAACTGCAGTGTGAATGTTTGCGTCACTCCCTGCAGTGGACCGATTGGCAGTTCCCTGGCCTGTTTGACAGCTGTCCTTCTGGGGTGCTGATTCTATTTGGTACACATTTTCTTTCAACCCTTTATCTTAAACAGACTCCTTGTATTCTTAAAACTCGGTAAGGCGTTGTGAGCTGGAAAAGAAGCAGAGAGGGAAGGTTTCAGTATTTTCTCTTCCTATTGCCCTTTTTATGCCGAGCCACCTTCTGCTCCAGGCCACATTCACACCATGCATTGAAAGCATTACAATGCCACTTTAAACAGTCATGGCTCCCCCAAAATAATTATGGGAGCTGTAGTTTGTTCAGGGTGCTGAGATTTGTTTGGAGACTCCTATTTCCCTTGCAGAGCTACAGTTCCCAGAATTCACCAAGAAGAGGGATTGATTGTTTAACCACTCTGGGAATTGTAGCTCTGGGAGGTGAACAGGGTCTCTTAGCAACTGTAAGGCTTTAATGAACTACAGCTCCCAGAATTATTTGGGGGAAGCTGTGGCTGTTTAAAGTGGTATCACAGTGCTTTAAATGTATATCTTGAATGTAGCTTGATTTGGATTAAACACACACTGATGCACACACTTTTTCAAAGATATGCTTTTTGTTTTTCTGTGATTGGGCCTTTGTAATTTCCATATTGCAACATGCTTGATAGCTACTCTGATGAGGGATGTGCTATAGTACAATAAATAAATGGTAAGTCCTATGGCCATTTCAGGGATGTTGAGCGATGGCCCAGACAGCAGGTGGCACTGTGGCTACCAGAAAGCCAACCTCCCCCCCCCCCCCCCCGGACCAAGTAGAAAGGAAGAAATAAAAGGGAGATGGTGGAGAATTCAACTTCTGTAGCCTCACAGATTCAATTTGTAATCCACTAAACATTTTCAAAATTTGAAATCATCCATTAAAAAAAGAAATCCTGAACCATTCAGATTCCAAAATCTGAACTGTGGTTTTCAGTGAGGAAGCAAAGAATGTTATAATATGTATTATATGTGTTGAAGCAGAAAGAGAAGAACAGGAAGATTATGCCTCCCATCTGCTGGAACTTCTTAGGGTCTACTGGTGAATTTAAAAGAGTCTTCTAGTATAAGCCTGCTGACACCAAAAAGGTTTCCAAATAAGAGCCATAATTAAAAAGCTAATCAAGCTTATTTCCACAGATTTTCTCAAAAGGCAGTAACCATGCAACAAGCCCTGGAGTTCTTCTATTGCAGTCAGAATCTCAGGGTGTGAATGGGAGGTTTGTCTGGGTTTTTCTCTTAGCAAAGGAATGCAAGACTCTTGCTTGTTAGTTGGCAGACATACCCCAGAGGAGTTCTGTATATATTACATGCCAAGGGATTTCCAGGATCAGGCCCACTTTTTACACTTTGTATTTCCCTGATACAAGCCAAGGAGGGAGACGGTTCTTTTAATATTAAATAAGATCACAAGGGGTTAAGCTGCCTTCGTGAGAGGGGATGTTGATTTCATTAGGACGCTTGGGTAAAAACATTGTGTACCAGAATTCTGACTAATTGCCGGGTGTTATTGGCAGATGGTAAAATGTGCAACGATGCCAGGAGATCAATTCAGCCTTTAGCACTGTGCCAGCAAGTGAGTTATCTCCATTTAGAGTGATTTTATATCACTTCTTAATCTTATTTGTAAATGTGATCCCTTGATGACACAATGCATAAGACTTTGGCTCAGCACGCAGAGTTCATAAGATGAACTTGGCAGACCATGCGAGAGCCCTCTGAGTGCAGAAGTTCTTCTCTCTCTCTCTCTCTCTCTCTCTCTCTCTCTCTCTCTCTCTCTCTTTGGTACCCACTCAACAAATTGTCACAGATGTATGCATGAAAGAAATGCAATGCTTTCGGCTGCTTCTTTTGTTATCTTTAAAAAGAACAAAAAGAAAGTAAAAGAAAAAAACCACCTTGGGGGTCTCTCTGGCAGAAAGTCAGGATAAAAGTTTTAAGACAACAAACTGAAAAGAAGCTAGACAAAATCACAAGAACAAAGGAAGAGCCCCACTGGATCAGATCAAAGACCCACTTTGTCCAGCACCCTTTCCCCCCATCATTGCTCAGACTGCTATCTCAAAGATAAACTGCCTCTTCACAATGAGGTCTCCTGTTTTAGGGGAGGACTTTGGTCTTTCAAATTTCAGCAACGCCCTATGCGAGGCCAACATTTGGCGACCCAACCTCTCACCTTCCATTCTGCTCAGTTCTCTGTGTCATCGTTGTGATGCCCTGCAGCGCCCCCTAGGCTTGACTCCCAGTGTGGCAGAACAGGTCGTACTGCCCTAAATCTGCCTCTGCCTGTTTTGCTTTTAAGCTGTTACATTAGGTTAGTGTTAGCTTATTTGCATTCTTTTTGTATGCGTTTATTTTCTGTATTTACTGATCTTGTGATTATTTCTAATCTTTCTTTTTAAAAAAAAGCCCATTACATTTGTTATTGCTCATTTGATATGTTGCGAGCCACTTTGAGCACCACTGTGGAAAAATGGCATAGAAGTAAGCTCATGTTCACGCAGCGGCCAACCAGGTGCCTCTGGGAAACCCACCAAGTGGGATTCAAGCAGAAGAGCTCTTTCCCCTCCTGGGGTTTCCAGCAACTGATATTCAGGAGCATTGCTGCCCCTGACCACGGAAACAGAGCATAGCCATTGTGTCTAGTAGCCACTGGGAATATCCTTTATGAATTTATCCAATCTTCTTTTAAGCCATCCAAGTTGGTGGTCATCACTGCTTCCTGTGGGCATGAGTTCCATAGCTGCACTACGTGAAGAAGTACTTTCTATTATCTGTCCTGAATGAGGGCTTTAAAAAAAAATCATAAAGTGATACATCAATGCAGTGAACTGATCTTAAGACTGAAAAAAATATCAGAAACTGAGAGAAACTGAAACTGAGAGATTTATACATCCATATTCATGGGGTTGTTCATGCATTTGTCTTTAGAGTTGGGAGCATAGCTGAGTGGCACAGCATGTGTTTTGCCCACAGAATGTCCTGGGTTCAATTCTCACCATCTCCATCAGGTGATGGAGAAGGCCTTTCTCTGCCAGAGATCCTGGACAGCTGCTGTCAATTCGAGTACACTATACTGGGACTAGTCAGAGAAATACTACTATGGCCTCTTGTAAGGCAGCTTCATACATTCATCACCCTATGACTTCAACACCTCAAAACATGTTCCTTTCTTGCCAGCAGTAAGCCAGTTTCACCTTCACTGCAGCTTCTTAAATGATGTAATTGTCTGATCAGGTAGAAATAGCATAAGAGCTGCTTCCAAGAGCACCTCGGCTCCTGCACAAGCTCCGCAGGTGTTGAGGCTTGCCTAAAAGAAGTGAATCATTCTTCTGCTGCTCTTTCTATAATCCATTGGATTAGATGACTGCTAGATAGCTCAGATCAAAAGTTTTGCAAGTAGTCGGAATGGCAAAGGTTGGCAGCTCTGATTCTTGGGTTCCTTTCAACGTCCAATATACATAGCCTTGGATGTGTCTGAAGATTTCCATTGTGGTTACCATTGGTTGTATGCATGGAACCATCACAGATCTATTGCCACAGGTTTCACTTCTATGTCACCTTCGCCTAAAACCCCATGCTTCCTCAGTGGAATCTGTTCTACATATTCAGCTGTTTGTCCTCAAATGTACAGTACCAAAGTGTCAAGGAATAAAGCGATCATTTGCAGGTGTGACCCAGTCATGGTCACGTGGGCAATATTTCCCAAAGGTCATCCCTCTTCCCATTGTCAGCTCCATGTTTTTGAGGGCATTTGGGCAAGACACCTTCCATGAGGCCTTCTCCATCAGTGAGTCTACTTTAGCTCAGTCTTGCATGCAGAAGATCCCAGGTTCTGTGCCCAGTGTCTCCAGGGAGAAAGCCCCATCTGAACCCTGGAGAATTGCTGACAGTCAATGTAGACAGTACTGAGCTAGTTGGACCAGAGGTCTGGTTCAGTATAAGGTAGCTTTCTATGTTTATCACTGTAGCAGGTCCAGGTGGTTGTTGTCAGTGGTGCCTCCCCTGGAGTGTGGGCCATCAGCAAATGCCCAAGCATGCCAACCCTTGGCACCGGCACTGACTCTTCCCTCTAATTGCAATCAGCATCAAACCAGAGTGCTTGGAAAATCCTCAAGACTTTCCACAAAAGGAACTTGGGGAATAGAGCCCTTGTATGCCCCTGACCCTGATCTAAGTTTGCATTTCCTTTGAGCTCACTTTTTTAAAAAAGGAAAGGAAAAGTTTTGATTTCTTTAATGACCATGAAAGCAGGCGATTGATAATGCTTGCAAAGGTCAGGCACTGAGCCAAGGAGAGGCTGCCTAGAAGTCCTCCTGCTTCTCCTGCCAATGAATTCCAGCCCAGCATTCCAGATCGCAACCCGGCGGCTACTTAACAAATCCCGGCCACTCATTACAAAGTGTTTGCCAATTGTTGCAGCCTGCAATAACGATGTGAGTTGGGCTTTTTGGTATGCCCTGTTCTACCATTAAAGATGAGGTCCAGAACACCCATGTTGTTTTACGACAGGCTCCGCTATGGTGTATAGTTCCAGAAATAAAGTGGGAAGATAGGCCATCCATGTTACTTGCTACTGAGTCATGGCTGCTGGGAACATTTATATGTCCCAGAACAATTGTAAATTGTACCCTTCTCTGTTTTTAAAGCTGACCAGAATTGCATTCAAGTTTCTGCTGCCCAGGGAATTGTCCCCACCCAGTTGGCTCCAAAGTTTAGAACCCATCTCCAGACTATGTTATCCCTCGTTCAAACTCTGCGTTCCCTGATAGGTACATTCCTTGCATAGCTTCTGCTAGAGGACAATAGAATTAGTGTCCTCTACACCGTTTTTTCCTTTCAAATTCAGCTGGCCCAACAGCAAAATCCAATGATCCATCTGGACGGACAGGTATGTTGACTGTTCCTTTTGGAACACTAGCCCCTCCATGGACCAGATGACTCATGCCACCCAAAGCAGCATTAGCTCAGAGAGGAAAAAACAGCCACTGGTTCTCCTGTGAGAATTCAATCAAGTCATTGTTTCCAGCTTTTATTCTTCTGACCTTGAATGAAACCCTTTCCTTGTCCCCATCCCTTCTTAAAAGTGCCCTTGGCTAATGTCTAGCTAACTTGCCAATTGCAAGGAGAAAATATTAACAACAACACATACAGACACACATTGGAAAGTTTTTTGATCACTATGCATTTGGACGTATAAACCGAATTTTGCATGATGGTTCCTGAGATTGAGGAGCTTAGGGGCTGCCCTCCTAGGGTGATGCAATTACCAAAAGGGGACCCATTGCTGATTTGGATAACCACAAGGCAAACGTTCAGATATTTGGGGGTGAAGATGGACTTTAAAGACCAGTATGAGTATATTGAATGGGACAGGACCTGTGTGCAACAGCACTCTTTTCACCTGTGATTCCCAGCAATTGGTATTCAGAAGCATACTGTTTCCAACAGTGGAGGCAGAGCATTATTATTATTATTTTGGGAAGTTTTATTGGTGTTTTATTATGTTTTCATATGTGCTGTAAGCTGCCCATATAGCACATATAGCCACCATGGCTAGTAGTCATTGATAGCCTTCTCCTCAATTAGTTTGCCTTTTGTTGTTGTTTAGTCGTTTAGTCGTGTCCGACTCTTTGTGACCCCATGGACCAGAGCACGCCAGGCACTCCTGTCTTCCACTGCCTCCCGCAGTTTGGTCAGACTCATGTTTGTAGCTTCGAGAACACTGTCCAACCATCTCATCCTCTGTCATCCCCTTCTTCTTGTGCCCTCAATCTTTCCCAACATATGGGTCTTTTCCAGGGAGTCATCTCTTCTCATGAGGTGGCCAAAGTCTTGGAGCCTCAGCTTCACGATCTGTCCTTCCAGTGAGCACTTAGGGCTGATTTCCTTCAGAATGGAGAGGTTTGATCTTCTTGCAGTCCATGGGACTCTCAAGAGTCTCCTCCAGCACCCTAATTCAAAAGCATCAATTCTTCGGCGATCAGCCTTCTTTATGGTCCAGCTCTCACTTCCATACATCACTACTGGGAAAACCATGGCTTTAACTATACGGACCTTTATAGTTTGCCTTACCCTCCTTTAAAGCCTTCCATATTAGTGGCCCTTAGCATATGCTGTGGAAGTGGATTCCATAGTTAACTATGATTGTGTAGTTTTAACTAGGCTGCTGAAATCTGTGATGCTGGATTCCTGTGACTATATTGTAATGTTAAGGTACTATGGGGGGGCGGGTCTATTGCTGTTCCAAAGCCTCCTGTGACTATTGACTGCATCTGTTATATTATTGCTTTTACTTACTGCTCTTTTACATTTTAAATTATGTGTTACGTAGCTTATGTGCTTCGTGAGAGAGGGCCTTTTTAAACAATTGGATATAAATCTCTAGAAGTGAATAGATTTGGTTGCCTCAGTTCAAAGAGCCAAACTAGCTGGACAAAGCGTTGGCCTTGACTTGCCCATCTTTCTCTAATGAGTCAGTGAGTGACCATGAGCCAATTGCTTAACCTTTTGCTACCTCGATTGCTTCATCGGTAAACTATTAATTTCAACATCCTACTGGCTCACATGTATGGCTTTATATGTGGAGAATTCCATTGCAGTATATGATCCTTCCCTGATGATGGAGGACAGATACAAAAGGAATATGCATGGAGAACAATGCAGAGCAGGGGGTCCCTGAGTATGAATCGGTGCAGAGGCCCTGCGTGCTTCAATCTGGGCTTGCAAAATGTAAGTGCAGCCATTCAAGGGTAAGTGAGGGATATTTAGAATGTCCCCAGCAATGGATATAGTCTTTTCTGGGTTCTCCCTCCCTTCCCATCAGCTTTCGGCAGCCAACAGGAATCAGATGCAAGAGTATGAGTTCATCTCTTAAAAACTCGGCCCTCTGTATGGCTTCCAGTGGGCGAGGCCTTCTGAGCAAAGAGAAACTTCCCCGAGAGAAACATGATCTTTTGATAATCGGCCAGCACAACAGCAAAACAAACGATCAGGGAGATTACATTTGAAAACTCTCTGCCTTGCACAAACCAGCAGTTCCCAGCTCTGTCCTGGAAGAAAGTTTTCTGAGAGTTGCACCTCTGGTGCTGATCAGGTTAACTCTTGGTGATCCCAGATCTAACTGGAGACTGAGCGGGATTCAAAGGGATGTGCCCTGGCATTTACACCCTCCCCCCCAGTAAATGGGGGGCACTCCATGGAAGTGGCAGCCCAGATGATTTTGGCATCAGCCTGTACCTACTTGCAAGAGATTTACCAGGAGGGAGAGCTGAAGGAACAGGAAAGGAGCTGCAAATAAACACTTGGCGATGCTTCATTAAGTTTTTTTCCTATTCAAGATTAAACATAATTTATTAAAATAATAATCCAAGAGGTTTACAATATAATATGTTACCTAACAGCCAAGTACAGTTACCCATTCAATGAATCAGTTAACAACATAACTGATAGTTCAAACAACAGGTAGTGACATTACTTCAGCATCGTATTACCGCAGCAGATCAAAGGCAAGGACTGTGGCTCATCCTTCAAAATGCACATGTCTCTGAATTCTGAGATGCAGTTTTTCATGCAAATCCTGTGTACAGAAATACATATTGGGAAAAGTCTTCATAAAAATGCATTTATTCATTAAAATATCATACAAAAATGCATTATATTAAGGGGAAATTATTTGCAAAAATGTCTTGCATGAAAAGCATGTATAGTAGGAAAAACACATTCTTGTTTGTGTTAAAAAAAAAAAAGCAAACTGATACAGAAATGCAGACAACTGGAGTTAAGATGGGAAAAATGAGAAACTGAGGGAAACTGAAATTGACAGGCTCTTCTACCCATAGCAACAAGTCATTTTAGCTAGGCATGTGTGGCACCATGCAGACTTGCTTGCCTGCCTGTTCCCAGGATTTTGCCTCAGGCCCATTTCCAGGCAGTGAGGTACTCGATTTTGATTGCCAGTCAAGGCTTAGAATCTGATAGGAGAGGGGAGGATGTGGTGTGCTGGTT